GTTTGGGGCTCCAGGTGTGCAAGGCCCAGGCTGCGGCAGCGGGCACTGGGCTGGCAGGAGGGCTCCCGCCCTGGGGTCAGGGCAGGCTGCAATGCAGGACACGTCCAGCCCCAACGCCCACCTGGGTGCTGCTGCGAAGGCACGTGCCGAGCTTTCCTGCCCCAGGCTTCACAGCTCGGCCTCTCCGTGCCACTTTCCATGTGCCAGCGCCGGCGGTCTGTCTTTAATTTCTTTGACGCTGCTGCCCCCACACAGCCCCTGCAGCACAGATGCGGTTGTGCGATTCCCCAGCTTTCGTATTTGCACCAGCATCTCACAAAACACAGCTGCCTTCGCAAGCGGCTCCAACCACTCGGCAGGGAGCAGCTGCAGCCGCCAAGCCCCACACCCGGCTGCCCTGCCACAACCTCGCAGGGTTTTACCCACTGACAGGTCTCAGGATCACACCACTTTGCAAATTCTGGGTGCTGGTTGCAGCTATTGCCTATTACACTTAGTGTGGATGGGGGAACCGGCCCCCTCCCCTCCCACCAGCCAGCCTCCTTCTTCAGGTCTCCCCCTCCTGCCCAGCCAGGAGCTGGGCAAAGAGCAAAACCCGCCTTTGAGCTCAGCTGCCTCGGTGCATCGAGGCTGCACGAACACCTCAACCTCTTCCAGGACGAGGTTTCCGCTGCAATTTTCCCAGCAGCAAGTCACCCTTGCACACATCACCATTGCACCTGCAACTCATCAGGCAAAAAGGTCAGCACAGAAGTAAAAGCCATGAAGCCTCATTGATGATAGAAGTGATTTTAAGCACACTTGTACCCTGCGGGGACAATCGGTCCGGCCAGCTTCTCCAGACCACAGTGATGACATGAGTGATTCTTGCAGGAACACCAGTCCCCATCTATGACACCATCAGCATCAGCCCTGAGTGTAACAGCATGGCACTAATTCCCACACTGCTCGCCTCCTGCACCGGTTTTCATACACTTGTGTGCATATATATTATATTCCCACCTGCAAAAACATTGGTTTGTAGGTGGTAAATGGAATCCTCCCCTCCCCTTTAGCATCCATAACATCCTGTGGCAAGGAGCTCCGCAGCTGTCCTACCCTCTGTGGAGCACTCTCCCTTTGCTTTGTGTCACTGCCAGTTTATTTGATGGGAGAAACATTAGACAGAGTGCCTCTTCAGGGCTCACCCACCGCTGCACCGTGCAGCCCTTCCAGCCTCAGCTCCACCACCCAAGGCCAAACCAGCGGGAGGTAGGTGCAGAGTTAAGTCCATCCCCTTTCCCCCAAGCATCACTTCATAGTTATTGCTCCCCCCTCCCCCAGCTTGGCTTTCTCCACGTTAGAGCTGTATCTACGGAAAACAAGTGCAGAGCGATGCTTTAAATGGAGACGAGCAGAAGGTCTGAGTCTTTCAAAAATATGCAGACAGGAAAGTAGCCCCACCAGGACACATTGCTATTGCAGAGTAGTTACTTGAAATCGATGTGGACAGCAAAAGCCCAGTCAAGTGAGAGAAAAGCACGATAGGACAAAGCCATAAAACAGGATATAGAGCACAAAGACTGCCAGAAGCCTCTTGAAATAACTGGCCTCATTTCTCTATACCTTGTTTTCCATCTTCCTGTGGGCACAGGAGTAGCGAGCTCAGCCTTGCTGAGTGCAAGCGGAGGGTCATGCCCAGCATCTAGAAATTAAAGGCTTAACCTTAACTAGACTGGACCAAGGAAAGGTCCTTAACTCACTCTAAGGTACCCCAGGCCAGCCTTGCTTCTCCTCCAGCTGAAGCACCTAACTGGTGAGCTGGGAAGGGCTCAACCTACTCTTCTCACCAACTCCTCCCAGAGGAGGGTAGCAAGATCTTTAACAGCACTGCCCTCCTCTCCACCCTGAGAGCCCAAGGCTGATATGCTGGGACAGGGGCTGAAGGACCATGCTCAGAGAAGAGCAATCAGATCCAGCACTGTTCCTGCCACTGCAAGCAGCTTCAAGAAAAGCAGAGGGGTAGCTGCCCAGTTACAGTCTCGGATCAGCCAAGCAAGCAGGGCCTGCTCAATCCACTCTTGAAAACCAGACTGGAAGGCATAGACTTTATAGTAAGGAGGAAGCACAAACATCCTTCAGTTAGCAGGCGCTGGCTTGCTAAAATGGTGACTAGACAGAGGAAAGCAAGCATGTTAGTGAAGGGAAAAAAAGGAGAGTCAGAAACAGGAGTAAACAAGAAGGTTTGTTCTTGTTAAGTTTATTGGCATCATGTTTGTCTCTTTACATAAGAGCTCAGCCTACGTACTAGAATGTAGACCTCTGGAAAACAGGTAGAAGGGCTCCATTTAAGCAAGCTACAAACGCAAGAACAAATACCAGGAAGAAAGGAAGAGAGGAAAGGGACTAGATTGCCAGGTTTTTCCATACCAAAAATCCAGATTAGCAGTCAGTAAGAAGAAAGGGAAGATTCGTAGTCCAGGTCATTCATCGAGAAACAGCTACCACAACCCAGGTGGGAGAAGAGCTCCTTCCACAGTACAAAGAGCCACTGGGACACCTCAGCTCTGGCTCCTTCTCACACTCGCTCCAGGATGTTAGGAGTTAAGCAGTAGGGGAGGTGAACAAATGAGGTCATTTCATAGCTGTATTTAATTTTAAATCCAATAATCCAGTGTGCATATCAATGGTGTTATGCAAATCTGAGAATTTAGATACAAGGAAGCCAGACAGATTTTCCAGAAGATGAAGCCTTTTGGCCTCAGAACAAGAAGGCTTACATAGTTCATTTCTACTGTACAGAATACTGCCTCTATCTGGACTTTGTGTGGCTAGCACGCTGCAGGTCACAAGTGTCCTCCTCACTTTCTACACAATCTGTGTTTCAGTACTTGAACATGTAATTCAGGAATTTTACACTAATTTATACATTTTTAATTGGTTGCATATATTAACATGTACTATAAGATTTTTCCTAAAGAAGCATTACATAATACATGGATACTGTAAAAAGATCTGATTAGTTAAAAGTAACAAGCATTAACAGAGATACATACAAAACTCAACCTAGTTGGACTGAGTGCTGAGCTTGCAATGAACTATGGGTAATCAGCCTTTCCAGTTGCAGCCTTCACAGGGGAAAACACGAGACAGTTAAAAATGTATGTAACTTGTTACACAGATTACCTGTAAACAGTTTCTCTCCATTGGACACCTGGAATTAGATTCAGTTCCAAACATACATAAGAGTTTCCATTTTAAACTAAGGGAAAGGTCTGTTACCATGAAGTGTGATGTGGATGGTGTGGGGACACGAGCTCTGAAGTGCAGGACTCAGAGATGCTCATGGGAGATGGGTGGATTTTGGCAGCTGGAGATGGAAATTTTTTTAAATTTCGTTTTAAACACAGAAGAGGGGCTGTGTGTTTGAAGGCCTAGGTGTGATATTCGTTTGTGAAGGACTGTGCTCAACCCCTCCCTCTCCCCTCAGCAGCTGCAGCTCTCCGCAGAAGCCTTCACTCGGTCATTCTTGTCTAGTTTGATGGGTTCGGGGAATTCATTGTAAAGCTCCACTTCGGTTTCCTAGTGGGAGAGAAGGGAGGAGTTAATGCCACGGCTCTACAGACAGCTCCTAGCACGCAAGGAGCCATTCTCGGCTGCGGAAAGCTGTTGGGAGAGCCCAAGGCTGCCCACAGCAGCTGAGCTCGGCAGGCAGGACCGGCACCGGCAGAGGGCACCCACCGGCCCCCTCCCTACCTGTTTAAGTGCATTCCGTGCAATCGTCTGGAAAGCTTGTTCCACGTTAATGGCCTCCTTGGCACTGGTTTCGAAGTAGGGGATGTTGTTTTTACTGTAGCACCAGGCTTGCGCCCGTTTTGTGGTGACCTGGGTGGACAGAGAGGAGCATCACCACCTTTAGCTATGCAGGAAGGGGGTTTTATTTCCAGGGCAAGGCCAGAGACCCCTCATATCCAACCTGAGCTAAGACAGCAGTTCTGACCTCATCAAAACTACAGCCTTGATACAGAGCACAGGAGACTGCTGCCCACCACCACATACACTCAGCCCTGGGGCAAGGAGCACCACGCCTAAGGAAGATGAGACCACAGGGCACAGACTGCTCAGGCATCCGCAGAGCAGGGACTTGCTCCCACAGGAGTTTCTCAGCAATTCTGGAGGAAGAGAATCAGCTTCTCTCCTTGCATCTACCCAGGAAGCTGCTGCAATCCTTCCACCAGTGGGCAGGAGCATGCTGTGCACAGGGGTTTGACCTCTCCAGGCAGGAGAAACTCTTCCCCAGTGGCACAAAACAGCTGAGCCACACTCAGGCACCTCCCACTCCTGTTTCTCAGATAACCCTCCTGTGTTCCTACAAGGCCTCCCACTCCAGCAATTTCTTAAGAGGAAGCTAGCAAGTCCCAGTACTCACTTGTCTGTTTTCTAGGTCAATCTTGTTTCCCAGCACAACAAAAGGAAAGTTCTCAGGATCCCTTGGACTGGCCTGAATGAGGAATTCGTCCCTCCAGCTGTCTAGGGTTTTGAATGTGTTGGGGGCCGTGACATCAAACACCAGCACACAGCAGTCTGCTCCCCTGTAGAAGGCAACTCCCAGAGACTGAAATCGTTCTTGTCCTGCTGTATCCCATATCTGGAGCAAAAGACAGGGCAGATAAGCCAGCTCTACTCTGACATAGTCAGTCCACAATTAGGGCATTCATTTCAAAACTCCCCATCAAGCACCTACAGCCCCCAGCTAGCCAGAGAGGAGCACCTGAAGGCTTGGGAATTTCTGTAGGCACTAAGTATCAAAAGCCAGAAACACCCTTCTAAAGATAGTTAACCCTTTTTGTGTTCAGCCTCAGCAAGGGACATATCCTTGTTCTAGGCAAGCAGGACTTAGGTATTAGGGTCAGCAGGTGACCTGCCTGCAGTGCTCAGGTGCACTTGGGTCCCAGCACAGCCCAAACACTCCTTTGATGGCTGCAACAGGGCTTTTGCTGCCTTGCAGTCATCTTACCATGGAAGGTAAGATGAACCTTCACATGAAGGTTCAGATACTAGAGGCATAAGCAGACTGGCAGGTTAACACTGTACCCACAGGACTCAGGGCAGCACGAGTAGTTGACCTGACTAAGGAGTCCTTTCCCAGCCCTTTCCAGTTCCTGAACACCAGGGAAGTGCATCTTTCTAACAAGATCTAGTTTACCGACAGTGCCAAATGCTGGTTTTTAAACTGGGCCTGGCAAAGCTGCTGATCAGTTTGCTGAAGGCAAACTGATCTTTGCCTTCCCTTGTTCAGCCCATACACAGATTTGTAGAGAAGCCCAGCAGCATCTACAGCCAAGAACAGTTCCAGTGCAGATAAGATTCACACCCAGTGCCGCTCTGGACTACACTGGAGCAGATACTTCCACACAAGTGTGGTCTAGGCAGCCAGGCACCCCTTGCAGCAGGGAGCAGAGTCACTCCTTACCTGCATTGTCACTAGCCTGTCATCCACCATGACCTCTTTTGTCAGGAAGTCTGCGCCTATCGTAGCCTTGTACTGGTTACTGAATTTCTTGTTCACATACTGGTTCATGAGCGATGTCTTTCCCACCCTGTACAGAAAGACAAAAGAGACTAGGTAGGCTGTTTCTACAACAGTGTTTGAATTAACCACCCTGAACAGAACATCCCAGTGCCCTCTGCCTTCCACCATAGTGTCCTGGCTTTTCAACCAGGGAAAGTGCATGCACCTCTGCAAGCAGGGGCTTTTACAGCAATAGATGCTGAGGCAACATGCTGAGTAAGAGCATTAGCTACCTAATGATATGAAGGATTACAATCTTGAGAAACCTTGTTTCCCCCATCAGTAATCTGATCCTTACCATCCAGTAATCTGGTAAGGAATATGCATCATATTATGATCATAAGGCCAATTTCGGAAGAAGATGAAGTGCCCCAGAGAAACCCACCAGAAAGAGTCATCTTCAGCCTCTGCAGAAGGAGGAGGTGGAAAAACAGACAATCTCAGCCTGAGAGATTGAGCCGGCAACAGCTCACATACACATCTGCTAGACACCGAGAGGTGGCTCTCTGGAGAGATCTCCAACTTAGAGGCTCACATGCCCTCTCTGTGGCTGAGAAACACTCCCTGATCAACAGCTTGCTGGGCACAGCGGTATAAATAAGCCTTATGTCATGGGAGTCAGGTTACAGCCTGCACGGCAAGTAACCTGTAACAGCAGAGCGGACTCCTTGCTCAACAGCACAGAGCAAAGCCTTTCACTCCAAGAGGCAGGCTCTAGCCAGATCAGACAGAAGCTAAGCAGATGGCTCAGTATAAACTATGTCTCTGACAAAGGCAGAGTTTTAAGAAGTCACCTAAGATTGCTTACTAGTGTTTTTTTGTTTGTGGGTGTTTTGGTTTTTTTGGGTTTTTGTTTGGTTGGTTGTTTGTTGATTTGGTTTTTTTTAAGTGAAATGCTCATTTCAACATCACACATCCTCCTTGCAGAAAGGCTATCCAGTTCTGCTACTGGAGTGGTCTGCCCACCGCACTTCCCCTGTTTAATATTGTGTCAGGACTTCAAGATATTAAACTGTGGGGACACATTCAGGACAGAGGGTGGCGAAGAGTTCTTAAAGCTATAAGGTAACACAACTATCTGGGGCTGTAAAGTCTCTCCTCCCAGCACTGCTGGTTTCTTACGGTGCAACCAGGCTCCCACTAGTCAAGAGCACTGCTCCAGCCAGATGCAGATTGGCAGCTTAAAGGCTCCTCCACTTACCCAGAGTCCCCAAGGATGATGACTTTCAGTAACACTTTCTTCCTAGAAGTCATCTTTTACACTAGAAAGGAAGAGGAACAATCCCATCAGACACCATTAGTATGTCATTCCTCAAGGCAGAAAGCAGCAAGTTTGGAGTCTGAGAAACCTGACTCCCAGCAAGGAAGCAACAACAGGCAGGGCCCAGCACTCCTGAAACCAGACTCCTTCAATTCAAGGCTACACTTGAGCACTAACAAGTGTTTGCTCATTTCATAGGCAGGGCCATGTCAGACCAGTAGCGGCAACTTAATACCAACAGGCAGATGAGCCAAGCACTTGTCCTTTATGGTACCAAGTCCATTTTGGACCCTATTTCCAGGCCATTTTGTGGGTATGCAAGCCTAGGCTATCTCCCTTAGCCTCACTGGAGGCAGCGCAGTAAAGCATATCAGCTCCCAACACAGGCTAATTCTTACACATGCTACTAAGTGAGATGTAAGCAGAGCTACGTCTAATACCACACTCAAGCTTTTTTATGCTGTTCAGTAGTTTCCCCAGTAGAAAAAAATAAAAGAAAAATGGGCTTCCTCCACCTTTCAGGTTCAGCTTGGAGAAGCAATAGCTTTCTCTAGCAGCTGTGCTTTGTGAAAGTATTGAGTCCCAAGGATACGCTGTGGCTGAAGCGGTCGCAACACAACCACACAGGCCAGCTGAAGAACTGAATTACAAGGCAAACCGCTACCAGACTCCGCAGCTTTGCTGAGAGCATATGAAGCTAACTACTGCCACCTCACCTTCAGTGGAAGGACAAGTAAGGCTACAGTGACAAACCTCACAACATTCAGTCTATTGCTCTGTTAGATGATGAGTTGTTTGTTCAGTTGCATCCTGCCATGACTTCAGTCCACTTTGTAGGCAGGTGGCTCTCAACAGGCCACTAATGCTCCATCCAATTAGCAAGAGTGAGAGTTGAACTCCAGAGATCCACACCCTTATTTGTTCCCGGGTGTCCTTCAGATTAGTGAAGCAGCTAGAAGTACATCAGCTGTAGCAGGCCTGAATACACTTCTGGATATGCTTTAGCACAGTGAGAGCAAGTATGAAGTCTTGCTTTTAGTGGTTGAGCATGCCTTTCCTACCATGAGGCCCTTCTCCCTGCTTCTGGGGAAGGGATGGGACAAACCATTCTTAGGTGCTCAGGCTTGATCAGATCACAGACCCTGGTTTGGTACTGAGCTGGTCCACAACACAAGGACTCCTTGGCTTTCCCTGAGGAGCCCTGGCAGGTTCTGTACAGCAAGAGGAGCCAGAAGATGGTTATAGCTGTGCTGCTTGAGTTCAAAGATCCTTGACAACCAGCTTCATGTATTAAGCCCTTATATGGGGACTTGGTTACCCTAAAATTCCCATCCTGCTACACCACATTCATTGCACCACACAACTCCTACTCTTCAGGAGATATTCCTGACTTTCACAGCTAAGGAGGCCTGCAGTTCTACAACATGGGTATATGTGTCTTCTGAGCAGCTCAGTCCTATGCACTTCCCAGGATATGCAACAGCCTAAGCTGCTAGATAACTGCAACCCGCTTCATCCCACTACTACAGGAGGTAACATGCTTCAAGCTGTAGGAGCCTCCTACTAAATGCAGAGTCCAGTAGCAAAAAGTCTTAATCACCTCAAGCTTTGAGAGCTGAAAGACATGCCGTCTTTTAGACTTTACCATCAGTGAATGCTGCAGAAGCTGAAGAAGCCCTCCTGCAGCCGCTGTAGGTAGTAGTGCACTTACAGCTACACCTTATTGGACCACACCCACTTCATACATCTGGCAGTCCATCTAGATGGGAAACACTGTTGAGAAGGTAACAGCCAGAGGCTGTTGAGTGAACAGCAGTGACAGGCCACCCACAGAGCTCATGCTATCCTTAGATGGGTGTTAACAGATGCTAGAGAGCCTGCATAGGACAGTTTGGCCAAGTGTAAACACCTCTCCTTTCCAAGGCTGTCTATGCTGGACTGCATTGCTCAATGATCCAACTGGCAGCCCAGCTATACTAGCCAAGATACAGCCAGCTCAAAGTTGTCAACAACCCCAACATTTAGTCCTGCTTCTGCTCTTGCCAAGATCCACACTCTATAGCTTGTCTCCTCTATAGCCATGGGGAGAACAGACCATGTAAGCTCCTTCAAGCAGACTGTACCTCCTGTGTTTTCAAAGCACATAGCACAAGTGACACTTGTGCTAGCCAAGCCAGAGACTTCTGCAGCACAATCAGCCCAGATGGAGCAAGAAGTAAGCGAGCAGAGCTTTAAAAACAGCTTAAAGACAGCTGTGTACACTGAACTGTCATGGAAAACATCTGTATAGGTTCAGGTCCAGTGTGAGTCACCTGTTTTCCTCAGGGCAGAGGAAAACAACTCACCCTGAAGTGACTGTGCCAGAACCCAGCATGTACTGCTTCTCTTTTCCTCTGAGTGTTTTCAGTATCACTTGCCATAGGCTGCTGCAGCTCACCGCTTCCCAGTATTTGAAGCGGCTTTGGACAAGCTGGCATTAGTTCTCATGCTCAGGGAGGGATTTACAGAGCCCTAAATTACAACACTAAATCACACTGCATGCGTAACACCCAAGTTCAACACAGCCTGAAGTCCCACTATGAAGGCAGGGGAAACTGCTCTGTCAAGTCTCATTAGCTTGGAAGTAGCTCAGCTGAGCAGCCACCTGCAGACATGGGAAGGAAGCCTGAGTCAGACCTGACACTGCCTTCTTGTCATAGTGACAGGCTACCCCATCAGTGTGAAGGGCTACTACTGCCTCATGAATGCTGGTCAGGTGAGACACTCGGCTTCCATCCAAAGTAATGCAACAGATATGAGCCATAGCACAGAAGGAGCTGCCTCAGCTTGGTATTTGTTTTGGGCCGTGAGACAGTGAGAAACTCCAGTCCTGCCAGGGGCTAGCAGTGGACACTGCTCAGAGTTTCCCCACCCCTATTCTACTAGGCTTGATCAATGCTACTTTGAAGCCCAGTCAGTTGATGGGCCAAGCCTTCTTATTAATCTTCTCATTACAGGTATAAACAGACAAACACTTCAGAGTTATTCCTCGTCCAGTACAAGAAGAGACCTTGCCTTTGGAGAGGAGACCGCATCTCCAGGTCTTGGAGGAGGTACCAGTGTTTGATCTCCTGGACCCTTCCTATAGAAGGAAACCCCTCTAAGTTTAAGTAGCATCAAGTTGCTCTCTACAGCATCTTTGCTATCTCCCTTATCCTTACCATGTTGTGTGTGGCTAGGCAGGTCTTCAACAGCAGCTCCAGCTTTAAATCAGCTATTTGTGCTAAACCAGAGGTCTGACTGGTCCTAGTGAGATCTTCAATCTAGATGGATTGAAGACATCCCTGTTATCTTAACTGGGGTTTCTTATGAAGCAACCCAAAGAGTCAAACTACTCCAAGGACAGGATACCATGCTTCCTTCAATGTTTGCTTTCAGCCACAGTGTTTTTAACAAGCTGAAGTACTGGGAAGTGAGAGACACTAGTGCTCTCTGAAGGTCCTGCAAGTGAAGCCTTACTAGTCTCCTTAACACCATGCAAAGGATTTTCGTGACTTCAGCTCATACTAAGCCAACAGCAAATACATCTTCATGGCAGAGGATGCTTCCACACATTACAGTTCAATTAAGCTCAGAAATACCTCAGTCGATCCTGGTTACAACATGTCATTTGCTGTGTCAGTAGAACAAGGTGCAACCAACCCTGAGCCAGGTTCAATACTCAAAGATTTGCTTGCCTGAAGTCAGAGGCAATTTATGATTATTCCCTTTTTAACACAGGCTGTTTCTCACATTACATGGCATTGAGTATGTTCATTACTGCCTTGTGTTCCAGAAACGGAGCCCACATACATGCTCTAAGCTACATAGACCTCATTTCTGGTGAACCTTGCTAGTACAAAATCAACTAAGGGAGACCAAGAAGACTATAGCTTTAGCTCACAGACAAAGCAGGTTTGAATACCTGAAGGAGCAGTTAGTTCACATGAGGAGTTTCTCCAGTCACACCTGCAAGAAACATTAAATTACTGAGCTAAGCTGAGATGTAGGCTGTGCAGGGTTTCCCCAATGCTCTTGCAAAGAGCAAGCTCAGCTTGAGTTGAGATCAAAACTGTGATAGTGCTGAGTCAGTGGTATCCAAGTCTAAGACTATTTTCCACTATATATGCAGCTTGTCTTGCTCTATGATATTTGGTATAATTACTCTAGAGCAGCATCCTGTAAGAGTCACATAAGCCCTTAAGATGGCAGTGTGCAAGCTCACACGGGGCTCACATCCAGTCCCAGGAGCATTTCTGAACAAACACTTCTTTTCAGAGATACATGAAGAAAAACCTGTTTGTTAAGATTTGATCCAACACATCAGTTCTGTTTTTGACTGTGTGAAGTCTCTTGGAGCAAGGTCACCTGCATGACTGCTCAGAACACAGCCTACCAGCACACCCACCTAGCCCTGCTCGGGAGCCATCAGAAACTTCCCATCAATCAGGAGACCAGTCAGCATCATTCCTCCTCCTGGCTTAAGTGCTGCCAAAGGAATGACAGAGCTACCTCTGATACAGATGAGGAGTCCTTCCACTCAATTTTTTGCCTACCCCTCTAAGCAAACAAGCCATTAGCATTATGTTGAACCTCACGAGATTAAGCCTGGTATAGCATGCTCTCTCCCACAGTAGCGTTACTACCTTCGTAAGGCTGGCCTGCTGGAGCCGCAAGGGAGAACCCCTAACATCTGACCTGCAAGTGTTACTGGCTTAGCTGATCTGAAAGGAAGAGTCAAAAACTGTCCTATGAAGCTCCACAGTGCTACAGCTCCTCGGATGCAAGAGGAAACAAAGCCTATGCCAAATCTAATTAGGCTTCCCTTGTTGCTTCAGAGTACATTACAACTGTCCTTTCACTTGCTATATTAAGACAGCTGCTTTAACTCAAAGCAGAAATGGATGGTTAAGGATTCCTTAGAGATGTTCACATGTGTCAAGTCACAATGCAGGCATTTTAATATTAATTAGGTTGGTACAA